CCCTTAACCTGCCAGACTAGAAGAACTGTTGAAGGAGAAGTTGCTTATGCAACATGGTTCACATAGAATTGATGAAAACTAAAACGTGAATAACTTTTTATTGAGCCTATAAATTCCAAATCCGGCTTCACAGCGATGTTCAGCAGATCAAGATCTGTCGATTGGTGAAGGAATTGGTGGGATTTATAGGCTAGATCGCGAAATCGGCTCCGCAGTTACACATTTTTGGTGGGAGCTCCTAAAGGTAAAAAATAATCGCGCATATGGGGACCCCTCCCCCATGCGCGGCGGTCGATAAGGGCGGAGGAGCGCCATCCACCTAGCGGCTGTGCGGAAGGAACCCCCTACCGGGGGGGTGCTAGAACCCGCGACCTCCGGATGGGAAGCCCGGTGCTCTACCGCTCGACCGCTGGCACACACGATAACACGTGCATCCTCAGCCCGGATGGGGGCTTGGGAGAGAGAAGGGTGCAACTGCACGTTCATAGGCCTCCGGCCGGGCCTCCTGTGCTGCCCCGCACAGCGGGGACCCCCAGCACAGTCGGCCCTCTTGCCGACGGTATTTATCATATTACACTCATCACTGGACTTACGGACACTTGTTACTTGACCCACGCTACATTTTCCGAGAATGTCTAAATCCGGATTCGAACCCACGACCTAACGCTCGTCAAACCGACTACTAGCCCATTACGCCAATGCGCCACACAAAACCTGTATCGAACTTTTCGCTACGCCCTTGCACAACGCACCATTTTTGGGGCGCATTTTCGCATAAAACGTGAATTGACAAATTATCGTGGTCGATTTCTCGTAAGCAAATCTATAAACCAGAATTCTAAGACCATATCTGGGCTAATTAGAGCATTATCTACCTACACCCGAAGTTTGAAAAACTTTTTTGTGGATTTTGAGCGAAATCGGCTGCAAAAGTACCAAATTCGCTGTGTATTCTGGGAGGTATTTTAGCGCGCGCCTGGGGCCCCTCCCCCTGCGCGCTGAAGTGTTGAGCGTGTCAAAAAGACGTCCACCTAGCGGTGTGCTGGTTGATCCTGTCACCTGCGGTGCCAGTTGCTAGTCTACCTGCCACGCTGTGGCAGACTTGACGTTGTAGTCCGGCTTCATCCTGCCTGACACACTCGTGATGGTGGCTTACCACTATTACTAAATTGGTGTTGAGCCAGTACCACTGGCTTGAGTGCGCACTGTTAGCCGTGCGCACTAGTCTGAGTTTTCCGATGTAGACCAGAGTGCTACTCTACTCTCTGATGCGCCCCCGCGCGTTACTTTGCATTGTTTTGAGGGGGTTCGAGTCTGCAGGGTTGATTGGTCCGTGCACCCCACTGAAGTGGGGTCCCCGCACGGACCCGTCGTAGTTCGAACCTGCGACCTTTAGGATGAGAGTCGGACTGAATAACCACTAGAGTAATACCTCGTTCAAAGAAATGTGTTTCGTCGAGGGTCGCCAGTCTCTAGTACCGTACACCGTGGTGGTTAGTTAAATCACAGTCGAAGACCTTGTGCTGCATATTATCACCAGTACTTAGTACGAGTATTAACTGTCAGAGGTCGGATATAGGTCAAGCGCATGGCAGAGCATGACACTGTCCATGAGACTAAACCAAATATATGCCGTCTATCCCTACTGCGATGATATAGAAAAGAGTAATAACTCAGATTTGAACCTGGATCTCTCGAGTGACAACCCGTCACACTAACCATTATACCAAACTTACTATATATACTAAAAGTGCACGAGTCGCCAGCCCAATGTTGAGAGTTGCTTAATAGTACTGAGCATGGACTTACAGCCTACCCAGAGCCCAGAGGGCATTGTCCTTCTCACTAGTACACTACTGACCTCTGTACCACGCAAGCCGCTGACCTACTTCGAGTGCTGAACCTTATTCCGCAATACAGTCCCACCGGGATTCGAACCTGGGTGCCTCGAGTGACAGCGCACGCCCTTAACCTGCCAGACTAGAAGGACTCTTGAAGAAGAAGTTGCTTATGCAACATGGTTCACATAGAATTGATGAAAA